ACCGTTATGAAAGAATATATGTCTAAAGTTCCCCGAAACCTGTCAACAATCTACAGATACGAAGGGTTAGATGCATGTTATCTAGCTGTTATGTAGAAACTTGAAAGTTCACCTCCTCAAAGCGAAACTTGAAATATACTACGAGATTCTGAATAAAAACGTTAAAGGAAGCTGGTTAGATAATGAGATCCGATCTTACTCTTCCCACTGCATCATTGTTGCCTAGATATCCGAAAATCTGGACCGCACTCTGCATGCGATTACAAATCCATCAACCATGATCCTTGAAATTGCTTCGAAGCTGCCTACCGTAGGTTTCGCTTCTTCCATGGCAAACTGAATAGTCATCATCTGAAGTTGTGGATCCGTTATCGCGCAAACGGCTGCTAAGGCGGCTGCTTGAACCGCAGGATTCAGGTTATTTAGATAAATCCGTTTCACGGTTTCCCATTCAGAGCTATCACCATGCCTAACGGCCTATACCCCATCCACATTTAGCATATTTTATAAAATATAAAAGGATGGTGTAACGTACGGTGCGGAATGTCGTTTTTAAAAGATTTGGAGGAATAACCTCGGTATTGGAGGAAGTGTATTCTTTGAACCATTCCATAAGCTTCGTCGTGACTCTGTATTTGCATGGTTAAATAAGTGTTAAAATTGTAGTGGCATGATGAATACTGACTCCTCGGATTCTGCATCGGCAGCTTGGGTGATAGCCAGTGTGCGTAATTGGATGGTATCGGGATCTTCCCCATCCGGATACTCATAACCCAGTTTCCTGACAAGCGGTTCAAACAAAGCCTATAGCATCAAATTAGCAGCCTGGCCAATTGATTCTTAAAAGACTGATTAACCCGTTTGAAGGCCTGCAGATCATCATAAACCTGATCCTGATCCCACCACACTTGGCGTATCTGACCCAGTTGGTTTGAAATGGATAACCAGACAAGATCTGGACAGGAATAATAATCAGACATTATCACATTGAAGCGAATTAGCTTACAATTTGTTTCATTGCGCATAGCTTCTATAAGAGACAATGCGTGGCTAGTTTGACCCATACCCGCAGACGAAATGGCAAGAACATCGGATATGAGAGATAATTTGTCTGTAACCGATAATGCACTGCTCTCTAGGCGTGATGCTTCTTGTTCAAGCCTTTGAAGCTGGTCTTGAGTATAATGGGTTCGATCTACAGGATGAAAAAAATGTGGATTATACCGATGAACACAAGGAAAGAGAGATTGGTGCGTACAGAAACCAGTTGCTCCAGCATTGATTTTCCAAAACGCTTTCACGTCAAGCTTGTATACTATTTCCCGAGCCTTGAGGATTGTTTCATTGTCAATATGAACGCAGCCATCCTCTCCTACTGTCAATATATTGAGCGGTATTTGCCTGGAGGGTGAAATGGAACCCCAAATCTCATTAGTCAGGGTTAGAAATTTCACGAAAAAGCACACACACCAAATTGTCTGATTGTCTTCCTCTTTGAAATCGCCATTGCTGAAAAATCGGTCTTGGCGGATACGTATTCCATCGGCTTCTTCAGTAATTGTCAAGACAGGAAAGCCGGTCTACACGATAATAGCAGCCCATTTTTAGAAATGGAATTATTTCACTTAAGATACGAACAATTACCTTGGATATCCAATTTTGCATGATCTCCGACACATTAATCCCTAAGACGTACACAGTAAGAAGGAAACTATTATGTAGTGGCAAAAAAGATAGACAGACCAGTAGCTTCCTTGATACCAACCCATAAATCTTCAGCCACACTATTTTCATACAAATGATTCTTCAGGTAGATGGACACTCCTTTCAAGAACTTTTTTTCTCCGATATAACTCGAAAGCATGTAGAGCACTATAAAAGATAAAAATGAGGCGATAAAAAGATATTGGCAGATGCCATGCTCACCGGAAGCAGCCTTCCCGTATGATAAAGCATCGAAAATCTGGAAAATCTCTTTAGGATCCACGATCGGCACTTGGACCGGATGAGAGGAAGGAAGCGCATCCAACTCTAAAGCTTCCTCCGTATAATTTATATAAAACGCCGAATAACAATTCCACTCTGGGAATACCCTGGAATGACGGTGAGACCAGGTTAAAATAATCATGAGACCTAATGGTGGATCGAGATCCGTACCTGTTGAGGATAACGGTGCGCCCCATGAATGTAGCAAAGCCTTATTGATATTTAAGTCTGGAGTACGAGCTATTGCCATTAAAATACACACCTTCATTCAACCAGAGATTATCCCACCAAGCCATGGTAGTGATATTGCCAAACCCTAAAAAAATATTAATCCTTGAAATATAATAGGAGACTCTCTGAAGACATACACATATGAGCTAGCTAAAATATGAACGAACAATAGATAATCGTCAATAATAGCATTGTGACGAAAGGTTGTTTCTACTCACTTCATGACATTGGATTTCAGCTACTTCTTTTTTAGCATCAAAGTTGGCGCTAGTGTCGTCATACAAGGTATGCTGCGACTGGGTAACTATTAATCCCTAAAGATTATCTGAATTCTCTGTTTTTGAAAATATATGGGTATTTGGCTTACCCAATTTTCCATCGCTCCTCTGAAATTGGCAGCCTAACGATACCCAATTCAGAGGACTAGATAAATAAACGAGTAAAGGCACTGTAGACGTACGGCTAGAATGTCGAGTTTTGGCAATGGGTATTCGATATCGAATGCCTTCTCAAATTCGCATAGTATACGCGCGTCAGTTTCGAGGACGAACTACAGTAATATTGTGATCAAATATAACCCGCAGATATCGTATATCATACCTTGCCTTGACTAATGATGTCCGGTGTAGCTAATAATATGAATTAAAAATGAGCTCATTCTATGACTCCACTGCCGTAAATTTACCATATACACGCAAAGGCCTACGCATCCCGCTCAGTGGACTGACATAGGAGCTTTCTAGATATGCAAATGGACCGTTTCCGAAGGCAATGATATAGGTCGACATCTAAAAGAATCCTCGGTTATGTGAACACGAAAGCCTAATATTGAAATCTAACCATCGGAGTAGTCTGGAAGCTTGTAATTTTCCACTCCTTGGTATCTTCCTTGTGGAACAATTTCTCAAGATGTTCATTTCCAGCTAAATCAACAGGACCCTCTGACAGCATGGGCATATTAGAGACATTGACAGTGTCTGAACGTGAGACCATGTTTAGGCTGAATTTAGCCTTTAGAAGCGGTTCATCCCAACATGGAAATGCTTGACGAGCAGCAATAGGCTAAGCTGATAATTCAGGATGGATGTCTAGCTTGAATAAGATGATATAACTTCTGACCTGAAACTGCGTAACAGTATAGTGTTTCTCAACATCGTTATCTTTGTAGGATGAGTAGAAGTACCCTTTATTCGGTTATGCGGTTATGACATATAGAAAAATGTACTAGTTCGATTGGAACTCACCCATTGTTGCATTCGTAAGTTCTCCACAGTACCAAACATGGAGTTGCGGCTCGTCGTCGACACGCAATAGACTGGGAAGCGTAACAGTTACTCTTTCCATAGCTTGATCCATATTCCAGTCTAAAATATCGATCTTGCCGTCTAAATGCAGTAGTACTCCTTTGATATCGCATTTGGATGAATTGAAAGCGATGGTAGACGTCTCCTTTGAAACTAGCAAACTAGAAGACATTAATAGGATCTCAATGCTTTCTATTCAATTACTACTCACTGGATTATGGCGTATCCTTGAAATTTCAGACCCTGTAGATCTGTCTTAATAGTTAGGTCGTAGTGAAGTGCTTTCACATCATCGGGCAGCCTGTAGCTTGAAGCATCTGGCATGGTCGAAATATCGAGAGAATGCTTTATTCTGAAAGGATGGACTACCGTTTCCCTGATCTTATATCGATGTATCTCGGGTGTCAGAGAGTTGGAGTTGAGGTACACGCAAGCTGCGCACTGCGACTGGAAAAGACTGCGCCCTGCGACTGGAAAAGACTGTGCGCTGCGAATATAAGCCAGGTGACGCGTAACCATACGTAAGTAATTCCCATGCTGTCACTGAGCCATTGCTGCCGGAACCTGTATTAAATAAGTAATTTCGATGGCATTTCGATGGCGGATGACTACAATCGTCCAGTGCTCTATGCAGGAAAAGGTGCAAGTGGTTGGGGAATTGAAGCGGCGATAATGGCCCACCGGCTGTCTATTCTCCCGCGAATATATTTCTGATCTGGCCGCCGGTGGGTAATTCTGCGGAGTATTACCTACCCTCGAGTCACTGGTTTACAGGCTGGCATGTGAAGCTGATATCGCTAACACTGATTTCCTTATAGCCTGATGCCGCAGCCATTATCGATGATTCCCAGGCTCAATGCTAACGCGTCTTCTGGATGCAGAGAATAGCTCGGGCCTCGAGGCCTCATCACTTATCCTGAAAGTATTTTTAGGTGACTCTACAGGGATTTAATTTTAAAGACACGGCGTCCATCGCAATCTAATGTAATTTTTTCCGTGTAATTCATATGTTACGAGTATTTCAGCTACACAATTATTATAATCCGCAACAATTTGAAGGAAGGAAGCCACATTTCATCACAGGAGGCAATTTTGTACCTCAAATGGGCACCAAGTCAATATGTCCGGCTTGACTTGACTCTGAAAAGGTATGAACC